TGAATAGGTGAACATTTCACTCAACTCTCACTCTCTTCTGGAACAAGGAAGAAGTTCGAAGAATCTTCATGAGAAAAGATGCAGAATATTTACAAAGTTTAGTCATATTACATGGATTTAACCCTCCGTTGCTACTCTTAAAAAAAGTCACAAATATTCTACTCTTAAGACAAAACTGTCCGTAGCCTTAACAGTAGTAAAAACTAATGAGAGCTAAAAGTTGTAAAATGGGGGTGGGGGTGACCCTAACCCTAACCCTTGGCCAAAATTTTGTTTCTTCTTTTTTATTGCTTTTTTGTTCTTCTCACTTATACTTTACTTCTATCTTTTTGCGTTTTCTCGATTTTAGTGAAATTTCAAGTTACTCTTTAAATTCAGTGACTTACGCCAAAATTTAAATATTTGCGAATTTTCAATGCTTTCTACTAACGAAACCGCAATAGACTTTGAGATCGGGTTTTTTGTATCTTTTTCAGCATATTTGCATCTATTGGAATATGCTTTCAAAAGTTTGGGACAAATTACGAATTCAGATTAATTATTTTCCAGTGTGCTATTTTCTACAGATGTAATTTTCATTGTTATAACATCAAAGACAATAAGATAAGACTTAACGAATCTTAAGGAACATATTTGAATCTGCTGAAATCCACAATGAAAGTTGAGGACATCATCAATCAACTTAGTTATTATGTAATTTTCAATTCTTTCAAATTACGATTGATTTCCTTATTGTCAGGCTAAATCTGGGTATCAATATATTCGTTTTACAGTTATATAAATCAAACCGCAATAGACTTTTACAAAAGGCTAATATCATCTTGTAGGGCATAATCTATTCTAACATAATCTGAAATCAAAAGTTGGGGACACAATTTTTATTGAATTGAAGTTTTAATTTCATTGGTTTTCATATTTAGTTCGAATAATTTGGGTAAGAAGAAGTCTAAATCTAGTCAATATATCCTAGAAAGTTGAAACCGAAAGATTGTCAAACCAAAAAATTTGTGTTTGACCTTTGCCCTCTCCTACTGACTAGCTTTACTTTTTCCTATGGAAAGGCTTGTATGAGCTATTGATGAATGTTTTTTCAAAAAGCAATAAAGTGGTCAAAAAAATTAAAGAGAGTTTTATTGCTCTGTAGCGTTAGCAATGCATTTTGGCAAAACTACTCTTAGACTTTTTTGTCTTCAACCGGTTCGATCGCGGTTTATATTAATATTACAGGTGAACTGTTATGTTCTAATTCTTCATTTTTTAAATATAGATGCTCATAACTGTGATTGACAATGTTCCGAAGTCAAAAGTTCCTAACTTCAAAGGTTTTGATTTTATTAGTATTCAAAAATTATTTTGGACAAAAAAGTCTAAGAGTAGCAACCGAGGGTTAAAGAGCAAATATCACATAGCAAGTTGAAACCTGGCTAATAAGCTGCTGTTGGTGAACTCGAAGCTCCTGATTCTGAGTTTGCAGAGCTTTAAGTAATTGGGATTTCAGTTCGATTAAAGATTTATTAAAAGTTAATAAAACTTTAAGCATAACTTGAAGTCAAAAATTAGCAAAAGAGCATTTCGGTGAATCACTAAACTATCAAGTAAAACAGTACAATTAAACAAACTTGAGAACTTGTTTTGCAAACTAGAACCAAATTGAGTGCAATGTCGAGCTCTTTACCTTTGAGATCATTGTTGTTTCAGCGTTGGCACAAGCCCTGTTGCATGAGCAAAACGCTTTCTGATTGAAATGGAAAATTGTTTCTTTTCTTTTCTACAGACGATGATATTCAGCTTCATTCCCTCGACTTTGACAGTCTGACAAAGCAAATGTAACATGATAACAGAGTCTAGCGATGTAAACATCCTTCAACTTGATCAGAGTCAGACAGTTGCGTTTAAACAAATGAATAAGTAAATGAAAAAAGATTACAACTTGAACAGACCTAATTGTGAATGCATTGTCTGGATTATGTTAAACTCAAAATACAATGAGCTTCATCAACTTGGGAAATTTATACATTAGCTTTCACAAAATCTGTTTTAAAGTGTTAAATATGTTTGAAAAGCGTTACTCTTATGCTAAAACATATTGCACCTGAATTCAATTGCACATCATCTAATCGCCTCCATTTTCTCGGCCTTTTCAATTCGACTGTTTTTCCCTAAAAATAACATTCATCTTGCAGACATTTCCTATTCCAATGTATAAGTTACCTTCATTTAAATAGTTTGCTCGAATGCTCACAAGAACACAAAATTGATGATAAATTATAGCAGTAATTAAACATTAATCAAGTTGAAGTGCAAGATGAAAGTGTTGAGATAACTTGCACCATTTAAAAGGTTAACATGTTGGTCAGTTTATTAATTATCAGTTGATTGAATATTTTGTTGATTCACTTTTAATAGCAATTACCATTAGTAATCTTGACATGCTTCAAATGAAAGTTAATGATGTTGAATAAAGTTGAACTGGAAACAGCAATTATCAAATAATAGCCTACGAAAAATAAGTTTAGTTAATAAGAGAAGCAATAATCTTAACCTTGTTGATAACTGATTCAACTCTTGACATGAAAACTGAGCAATAACTCCAGCTGCTGGGAATCCTTTCTTCTTCCACTCTCTCATAATGGTGATAATAATGTAAAAATAATATTGTTTCATGAATAAAGTTTAATGAATTGTGAAAAAGACAACCTAAGGTTAAATTGAAGTTGAAGGTTTGAAGCTCAAAGCATTTAATAAAAAGCTAAAGTGATGAGTGACTAGCAATTATTGTAAATACAATTGGATTAAATTGAATTACCAACTTGTCTTATTGATGATATTCAGAACTTATTTATCTTCTTTTCTCTTATTACTTGAACCAGTAAACATTAATATAGTAAATTAGTGAGTTGGCTGATCATCTTAAGTATCCAGGGAAAGGGAAGATTACTGAAGATGATGATGGAACATTCAATTCAGCTTTCACTTGTTTTTCCCTTTTCTGGTTTGTTTTAATGTTTTACCATTGATGATGATTGTATCACAATAAACCATGTCAATATGATACTGTATTAAAAAAGTGAATGACAATAAACTTCAACATGATCATGCTTTGCCTTTCATCTTCCTTCTCGATCACTTTTCATCTCTCGATCTTGCCATCATATTATACCATTAACCATTGTCCATCTTGGCTATTAAAGCCAATTTTTAGGTTCACTTGTTTCCTTCCTTTTATCGCTTTTATCGTCTTGCAGTTATTAATACTTTCATTGTTATGTTTCACTGAACCTTCATGCTGAACACTTTGATCAACTTTCGTTGCAACTTTCATTTATCAAGTGATTTGTAGTTAATCGCGTTTAGAGAGTCGAAGGTTAGCTGAAGACCTTTGTGATTTAGAATCATTTGCAAAATTAAATTTTGTGTCAACATTGAAATTGTACTTTTTCAGCGTAAAATGTTTCAATTTTAAAGTTAATTCAGTGTTAATCAGTGCGAATGCACTTGTTCATTACCTAAGGTAGTTTGCAGTTCTTTGTATTATATATTCAAATATCTTGAGTGATACTTGAAACGAATTTTTTGTAACTGCATTTAGTTTGGTGAAAAAAACTCATCAATGAATTTACAGAAAACTTGGAGAAAGTTATTGACATGATATTTGTTAGACAAAAGAATTGATTTCATTGAATCACAATTGCATTCATTTACTTTCAATTAATTTATATTCATTTAGTAAAAATAGTTTATGTCTTAAAGTGGTTAACGTAAAGAGTGACTGAATAAGCTCTTTGAAGGTCCATGAACTTAAGCTGGGAAATTCGATTTCCCTAGAGTTTCTAAGAGCCTTTCATTTTTTACGAAAAGTTACAAAACTGGATATTTTTTCGCATGAATAAAATACATTTTCAATTTTGCCGTAGTTAAATGATTTAGAAAATCATTGCAACTTCATATTTCTTGTTAAAAGGAAAATGCAAACAAGAGTTTTCGCTATTATATTAATAGTTACTATTGCTTAATAGTTTGGATTTATGTTTTGAGCAGAGTTTATGCAAAGTCGAAAACATTTGATTTATAACTCGAGTAGCCTGAAGAACTCCGAACTTTGACTCTCGAAATTTGCGTTTAATTTTCAATGCTAGAGCAATGAATGTATCCGACTCGACTTTTCTTTCAGGCTTTTTATTGTTCGAAGATCAAAGGAAAAACGTGATTTCTTTCAAGAATTCTTTATGTAAAGACAGATTTTTCGTGTAAAAGTAAAAGCCATCTCAAAGCCCGAAGCAAAAGGTAGAATGAAATGACGCAGATCTGAATATAAAGACGAATGAAAGGTTTCAAAATATTGAATACAAGATTTGAAAAAGAATGAACTTCGAAATGATTTCTCTATTGTTATCATTAAGATTTTTCTCTCTCGTTGATTCTTCACAAAATGAAGGAAAAAATTTCAATCTTGTTGTCATCTTGAAATGAAACTCTTCAGAATGGAAATGCAATTTTGCAGAAAAAGAAACAGAATAAATGAAAATGGTGAAAATTAATGTGAGTTAACAACAGACATTATATTTAGTTGTTAGCCTAAGGTAACGAAACTAGAGACTGATTTGTTTTGTGAAAACTTTAAATGTCAGTCGAAGCTGAGGCGTACAAGTTTGAAAAGTCATTTAATTAAAGCAACAAAATTCAAGATATTAATTCAATATTGCCTGATAGCAAATATGACGAGTTTAATGAAAAAAAACTTTGAACTTTAAAATTAAAGAGAATTAATTTCGATATTTGATCAAACATTTCCAGTCCCAATTGAGATGAAATTTGCATCAACAAAATTGAGCATCAATATTTCATTACAAGTTATTTACAAATCAATTTCAACAAAATGAACAAATTAATTCATCGTTTTGCAACATTTGCACTATTTTCATCATTCCAATTGTAACTGTTCAAATGAACCAATTGATGATCAATAATAGATTTGATTGTTGAAGGATTTTGAGGAATCGTTTTCAATGCAAAAATAAAACATTTATTTGGTTTTAAGCAAAAAAAGGTTAAAAAGATTGAGATTGCAAGATTGATCAACAGAAAAATTGGTTTAAATTGTTTTCCCAACTTTTGATGCCATTCCAGGTCGCTTTGAGTCGTTATCGTTTTGTGCAAAGATCGATGAATTATCGATTCTCGATTGATATCAAAATAGTCTTGAAGCTTTACTGTAATTTATAGTTTCAGTACAAGGATAGATTAGAGTACAATTTGATCCCGTTAAGGCAACCAAAGCAGCTTCAGAGTAAAGTTTCACTGCTGGAACCAGTTTTACATGTAAACCACGTCTTTCGGCTGCAACCCTGAAAACATGAGGAACAATTGGAATCAGAAAAGAAGTCAACTAATTAAAAGTTATTCTTGTTCAAATAAACTGGAAAAGATAAATAAATCAATTCTGTTTTCTCTCGCTTGGATTGTCCAACATTGCTTACCCAAATATATTGACCAAGGCTCTTTCAAAGGTGCTCAATGTCAACGGTTTGTCTTCACTCTTCAAAGCCCATTGGTAAACTTTGCATAAATGCTGCCTCTTACAGGTTACCGAGTTTACTTTACGAACCTCCAATGTTGCCTCCAAAAGAGCCAAAAACTTTTCCGTTGTTGGCTTATCAAATAATGGCAACTCCCAGGGAGTCCCAAGGTAAAAGGATCGTTTACGTCGCTTACCTCCAGTCAGGCTGCTCATGAAACCTGGAGAAAACAGTTGAAGAGGAAAAATGATGGAATGACAACAAATTAGATTCAACTGATTTGTGGTTCAACAATTTTTGGATTGAAAAGTTTTCTTGTTGCAACCTTCACCAGTCTGCCAATGAAAACAAAAGGACAGAAACTCGAGAAAAGCAAAATATATTTTCATCAATTTCAGATGGATCATGAAAGGATTTATCAATTGAAACACTTTTTGATTGGAAAATGTCAAAAAATTAATATACAAATCAAATTTTTGTGCTAACCAAAGATTGACAAACAATCAATGATGGAATTAAAATTTTTGTATTTTTTTCGTCTGTTGAAGGTTTAGCTTTTCATATCAATTGCTTCAATAATCTGTTCAGAGGTTCATGATGTAAAATAATGTTCAAGATAATGTCAATAATGGCTGGGAAGGAATGGAATCAAATTTTGTGGATAAAATCAATTGTTTTCCTGATTGTCAGACAATTTAAGGCAACGTTTCAAGGATAATGATGAGTAAACAACTGATAAGAATGTTGAACGGATGATAAACAGCAAAATATCAAATCAGTGAACCATTGAAAGTTATCAAGTTATTTCAATGTTACACGAAAATCAAAGTGAAACATTTCTCAGGACAAGGAATACACAAGTAAAATAACAGAAAACGAAAGGATAAAAAGACAAAGAAAATGTTGACATTAGACAAGAAAAAGTGAATGTTAAGTAAATGGGTAAAAAGGCTTTTTGATGAAAAAACGGAGATCAGTGACAAGGTTAACATTCCGACAGGAATTATCGTCAAATTCATTTTCTCTTGTTCTTCAAGTCTTTTCATGTGATCAAGTTATTTTCATCTTATCAACTTCCTGAGATTTATTTCAATTGGAAGGAGAAGGGAAGGGAAAAAGAAAATATTCCGTCTTGATTCATCTCTATCTTTGTCTCTTTTCCATCTTTATATTGAACAAATTCTTGCTGAATTATTGTCACAATAAGAAGTGAGACATGATATTAAAAGAAATTAAGAATTATAAAGTGTCTGGAAACAGTGAAATATGTAGACTTGGAGTTAGATGAAACTCCATTTCGAACGAAACATTCAAATCGAGACAAATTGGTTGAAATTTTTCTCATAAGAATTTCTTTCCATGAGTTTTGCATCTTTCATGGTAAAATGTCTTCAAAGGTCATCCTAGTTAATTGAGTTCTTAAGATTATCAAGGTTGGGCTACTATAGCTGTTGCTAAATCGCATGTTGCTAAATCGGATAATGAATCTGGTCAAATTCAGTAGGCTGCATGTTAAGGTGATTCAGATGAGAACTCAACTTTGGAACAGAACAAATTATTGATTTATTTTTTTCCAACAGAAATATCAATAAGTTCTGATCTCTTTAACTCTTTACACTGATACTCATGTCCATCTGAAATTATTAATTCAATTGATTAAGTCGTACTGTTTAAAATCGAAGTAAAAGTCATTAGTAAAAAACGACAGAACTTTCTGATGCGACTAACAATTCCATTGAGACCCAAAACTCTATCAATAGTGTTGATGAATTTCATTGAGCCCTCCATTGGTACTATTAATTTGTCAAAATATTATTTTCTGGTTGATCAATGGAAATGTAATGATAATCTAGAAACCATTTCAATCATTTTCCTCAATCGATTTTTGGTTAATCAAAATGCCGATTTCAACCTTTAGTTAGCAAAAGTTAACAAAATATCACACTTGATTCACAATCAATCAATTACATTTTTCTTTTGGCAAACTTTTCATCACATTTCTCTAACCAAATTGGTTTTCTGGTTAACCCAAAAGATTATGAAGGCAAATGATAGTGAAATATCCTCAGGCTTTTGTTTCTCTTTTGTGTTCAATTTAATTTCCATCATCATTTGGATTAACTTGATCAGTAAAGAATCCAATTATAAATGCGAATCATTTTGTTACATAATTTCAACCAAAATGATTATTCAAATAATCTTACATGACAGTGGATTCACCAAAAACAATGCATTCAACTGTTGCCAAGACATTGCATTTGATTAAATTTTCTGGTTCATCTAGCAAAGAGTAACCAACAATTAGGAAAAAAACAAACGAATAATTTACTAATTCCTTGATTTTCCCTTATTTACTGATTAAATTTCAACTTCTTCCCTGACAGTAAAGTGAACAAAAAACTTTCCCTGATCAAACTGTCTTTGAACCTTAGTTATTCAAACAAAAGAACCTTGATTCAATTAAAAATGCAATCTCAACTCATTGGTCTTACATTATAAGATAACATGAGTGAATTCATCAGAATGCTGCTGTGATTGAAAAGTGGATAAATTAAGGAACAATGAAGAGATTGGAAAATTTCATAATTTTTGCAAAAAGGATTGTTGCAATGATCATCAATCTTGATTAAATTTCGTTACTTTCATGATGTTTCCAAATGTTTAGTTACTTTAAAGTTAATTTTTGGTTTCAACTCGAAATTCTGTCATCAAAATGCTCTTCTATTTACCTAAGGTAATCCTACCAATTGACAGTTTACCGGTTAAAGTCAAGGTTAATAACTTGGGTTTGATGTGAACAATAAATGGCTTAATGAGGTTAACATTGAATGCTAAGTAACAAAGGTTTCCTTGTTATTTGCTCATTAACTGTTAATACAAATGATTAAAGGTAAAACTGAGCAAACAGTTATTGAGTCCATTTAAGGTAACAAAAGGTTCAATTTGCACTTTACTTTTTACTATTAAATGCCTAGGAAAAGGTTACTCAATTGATTGTTACCTGAGCTTATCAATTCTCGACTGAAGACTAAAAGTGTTGATTGGAAAGGTTGCTCAGAAAAGGTAACAATGAAAATGATTGAATCAAGGTTTTGGTGTTGTTCTGGTGACAGTAAACAAGATGAGAGTGAATATGAAAGCAAATTGAAGAAAAGTTGATTTCAATGAAACAACTTAAATTAATTAGATTAATCAGTTGGTCTTGAAATCGAACGATAAAAATGATGATTGATCAATGTTGGTCAATTCAGATTTTTGCCTTTTCTTTCGTTTCAACAACATGGAGAAATCTGGAGAAACTGTTTTCATCATTTTTTTTCATCAAATTTTCTTCACCAATTCATTGTTATACTCTCATGATGGAAATCTCATGATTCTCTAGAGATTCCAATCGATATTAAGTTTAACATTATTATTTTTACGATTATTATTATTATAATGATAGTCATTATTGGGGATACAAATATGTTTACCTTTGATAAAATAAATAAATAATCTTTTACAAGAAATGAAATGATAAACAAATAGCAATTACTGTTTCTCATCATTATTATAATATCATTAGATGAATTATTTCAGATTATTGTTTTACATTTTCTGGTAAATAGCTGAGAGTTTCATAGGTAATTATTTTACCTTTTGTTTCATCTTACAGTTCATATTATTCTTGCTACTGGATATTGTTATACAGCTTTCAAAGTTCGGATCTAAAGATGAGTGACAAGATTAAATTGCTGGTCAATATTCAACTTTAACCATCTTTTTCAATCATTTAAATGTGATGACCAGGTAACAACTGATTATTGCACATTAATACGTGATTTGATTTCCCAAGAAATGGATCGACAAGTTGGAGATGAAGGCGACATTTGCCTGTGAAGATACACTTGGCTTTTCACCTTAAGTGGTTCTTGTATTAATGAACAGTTGAGAATGGCTTTTATCTGATCTTATTATATAAATGTGAAGATTATTATCTTTGAAAGTGTTATTGGATGATGATGAGAATGGTTTTGATTGAGCAACAAAATGGTTAAAGATTAATATGCATCTTTACTAAATTAAGAGGCACTAGATGGAGACACCAAAACTGGTAATGAGTTCATGTATTGTCATAAAGCGACTAAACACCTGAATATAAGTCTCGAGTGTTAAAAACACTTTTTTACAATAATTTGTGATTTTTGGTGTTTTTGTGGCTGTTGTTGGAATATCTTTTGGCCTGTTTGGAAAATAACTTGAGATTTGCTTTGGATTAGTGTCGGAAGGAAATCACAAGGGACTTTGATTTGAGTTTAAAATAGTTAAAATAAAGTTGAAGTTCAAATAACCAAAGATCAAAGATTAGGATTAGCTCATTAAGGGATTTATGGAGTAGGAACATGCTATTTCGGATGACTTTCTAAGATTTTCTTACATGCTTATGGTCGGAGAGAAATGGAAAGTAAAGAGACCTTTGAACTAAAATGAAGTATGCACGATGTTTAACCTTGAGTTGGCCCAGTAAACCTTTAATTGCTGATAAACACTAATAATTTGAAGTACATTTCAAATGAGGCGCGTATAAGTCTTGGTAGCTACTTTTACGGTGTCTCTGTAAATAAATTGCCTGTTGACTAAAAGTTGCTTTTCTTTGATTGGCAACATTTTTTACTTTTGAAACATTGATTGGATAAGAATTTTTTATTTACCTGAAGGTAAAGGTAGATTACCAGTAACAGCGTAAATGGCGGGTAAAATGGTTAATCCGTAAATAACACTAGTCATTAGAAGTGTACTTAAGCCAATTTTACGAGCCAATCCGGGATTGTAAAGATACAATGGAATACGAGCATTTGCATCACTGATGAGTGGATGAGAGACGGCAAAATCAGAGATTGGAGTCTCTTGACGGGAAGGATGGTGACGATTTGAGGAAAGGTAAGTTGGTAAAAGTGAGGAAGAAAAATTTTTGTGCGACTTAAATGAGGAGAAAATGTTTCTTAATGAAAACGGTTTACTCTCATAGGAGCTTGGTGAGGATAAAGTGTCAATGGATGAATTCAATGGTGTTTTTGGATTTGATGAAGAGGACGACTGATGATCAGGTTGTGGTGTTGTTGGTAAAGGACCAAAGATTTCGGTTGAATCTATTTTACTCTCAATGGTGGACAAGATTGCGGTTAAAAAGTAAAGGTGAATAACAAGGTGATAAGGTGAGGAAGAAGTAAACGTCGCCATGTTTGTTTCAATGGTGTAACGTGTTTAATCATGACTCTGTGGGAAAAGACTGAGAGTAAAGAGATTTAGGTAATGAGAAGGGAAGAAAAATGAGTCAAAATAGCAAAATTTAAAGTCAGCCTCAGGTACCTTTGAAGATGTAACAAGATGATAAATCAAGACAAAGAAAGAGAAAGAGAGAGCTAAAGGAGGAAAGAAAGATTGTTGTTAATGTACGGAACTGAATGTAACACGGCTTTATGATCTTCACGGCTCGCCAATATCTAATGAAAACGTTTGTCCTCTAAGGCTTTACCATCTTGACACATCTTATTTCATCTTTCTCACAGTTTCTTTACCTCTTGTTGTTTATAATTGCTTTAAATATTATTTTGCTGATTATTTGCCTTTAAGGATAGTTGTTTTCATGTTAAATCACATGTTAAAATATTTCATTCATTGTCAATGGACATCAGCAACTGACCCCAAGGCTCTCTCTCTCCAAATTGTTTTAGTTTTGATTTATACACCACCGAAAAAAAAGACAGAACAAAATATGATTATATTGAGATTGTTTATAAGGTTAATTAGGTAACCAAGAAAAAGTGTATAGCTATAAGCTAATAACAATAAACGGGAAAAATAATAATGGTAATAATGATGATCAATTATTGAGCTTGTACAGAGTACAGTAAGGTTATTCAGAAGAGCAGCAAAAAGAGAGAAATAAAAAGATTCGGATTTCTTTTTCATTGATGTTGGACTTATGATGATTATGACAATGGTGGTAATGATTATGTTCATGGTGATGATTATGATTATCAGAAGGAAGATGATGGTATTAATGAAGAGCATTAAAGATGATTGTTGTCCTTTCTCCAGAAAAGTTGCATCTCTTGCTGTGGAAATTTGATTGAACTTTTTTATTGTATTCTTGCAGTTTATTTTAGGTGGTGAGTCTTTTGATTGAAATAATTTTCTCGGTCAAGTTTAACCAAAGCGTATAACCAGAACGATGATCTTTCAATGTGATCAAATTTAATATCAACACCATAATATGAGAATGAACTTTCAAATGATGCTTGTTCATTTGATCTTTATTCTCTTTAATCTTAATCATTATTCTTCCGGGAAAAACACGAATCCATCCGTGGTCTTTATTCATTCTTTTGATAGTTGGTTATATTAGATAATAATAGGAAAGTTAGGGTGGAAAACATTATGGATGATGTGTTTCGTTTGGCTTATTATTCACAACATTAGAAGCGCGGCAAAATAATAGACTTTTAGTTGGTTATCAGCTTCACCATTACCTTCATTATAAACAATATAATCATCACCATCAGCAATATGTACAGTAGCATCAACTTCATCAATTGATTAATTTATAGCAAAAGAAAGGCATTGAAATTCTTCCGGTTGCGAATTGTATCTTTTCTTCTCTTTAGATAGCTCTTTTTACTGTAGCCTTGATTATTTCAAGCTAAGATAATGAGAATCAACAGATCAATTTATGGTGAGCAGAAAAGTAACTAAAAGGAACCAAAATATTGAGAGAATGAAGGCCTTTTCCAGCTGAAAGGAAAACAGAAAACAGAAAACTGTTAAAAAATGATATTTAGCTGAGACGAGCAGCGAAAGGCCGAGTTAGAGAAAAAGATGAAAAGATTGTAATACGTAGAAAATTCAATGAATACAGAAGAGAATGAAACAAATCACTCAATTCGTATTTAATTCATACAATTTATTCGTATTTAAACATGTAAAAACAAAGAAAAGACAAGAGAAAAAATAAATAAACTCACCATTTGCATTAATGTGTTGATTGCTAGTTGAGTACCAATTTTCTCGAAACGGAAATTCAAACAATCGGATTCATGATGAAAGAAGATGATTGGGAGTAAATGTTTCTTTCAATGAGTATGCATCGGCTACCAATAACTCAACTTCATTGTCTCCCCAGTGAAAAGTAGGTAAATTTTGAAGATACAGTATGAGTCCTTGAAAATCATTTTCTTGAAGTAAATTTTTAGACCAATATCGTAGGAAGGCAGCACAAACGTAAAGGTGAAAAGATGCTGCAAATGGTGATCCATTACCAAGAGAGTTATTGGTAATGGTTAAATTAGACGATTCTAAGAGACTGGACGTTAGAGTGGAACCTGTAGATGAACTAGAAACATTGGCGGTAGACGAGGTCAAAGCTCCTTCAGCCAAATAAGTGTCCCAAAGGCGAATTATACAACGTAAAGGCAGTTCACGGATGAGGAGATTATTCATCCAACGGAAAGAGAATAGTAGATAGTTGACATTATTACTGGATAGATGATTGTGAAGTTTAGAATCGATACGAGACATTACTCGAGAAAGAAGGTGAACTAAACTTTGTATTCCAGGTTGAGCAAAAGTATAATTATCCTGAATGGAATCCAATAATTTGTTTAAAGACCAAAAGGAATCTGCTTCTACCCCTTGTAACACTTCTTCAGAAAGAGTTGATACATTTACATGATCCAATTCCGATAATGAATGTGTTGGCATAAATTCGGACAAGTAAACAACAAAGAAAGGTATCACAAGGTCATTCATTCCTTGAACATAGCCTGAAGCTGGGTGACGAATAGAATAGATATAAAGTATCCGTTGAAATATTCTTTGAACAATTTCTTGTTGAAAAATTGAAACCAAAGGTTGCATTCGAGGTATATCAATGTGAATCTGTCTCCAAATTTCATCATCTGGGCATCGATTATTATTGTAATATTGTTCAACATAATGTTGATAATCAGATCTTTTACGTGCCAAAGCTGCAGCCCTTTTTTCCCTTACAACAGGAAGATAGCCTAATAATAATTTCCACGTTACATGACGAACTGATGGTGGTACACCTGCCCATGCCATTGAACGCAATTCATTTAAATCTGTAACCTCATCTTGATAAATTAATTTCTTAAATTTAATCAATTTATTGTCCATCATAGCTTGCTTTGTTGATGACATGATGATGATGATAGAGAGTGAAAGAAAAAGCAAAAAATAGTCAAAATACTAAGAGGAGAGAGTGAGAGTGTGAGAGTAAAAGGGAAAATGTTTCAGTAAGATTACACGTGAATTTAATGCTGATGCTGAACAGTTCAAGGATTTAAAATTTATTTATTTTTGAAAATCCAATTAATCACAATAGGAAAAAAACAAAAACAAAACCAAAAAAGTGAACATTTAAATTGGTTAAAAACTCATATCAAAGAAAATATAAACATCATAAAGGGGCCATCTTCTAATAACCAAAGAGAGGCAAATTCGGAAAAATATCAAAAAGGAAAATCATTGAATTTTTTTCATGTAGTTTTCCTGCAGCAAGTTCTGCTGAGTTTTTCTGATTGAAACTATCCTTTCACAGAACTATGCGATTTCTCATATTTTTTTAACCTATCATACTTGTCTTGCTCTAATGTCAATCATCAATCGATAAAATTCGTTTTTTCCGTAATCTCAAGAAACTTGCAATTCAATATTATTAATCACACTAAGAAAACAATTCACCAATATTATGCATATTCCAAATTTTTCAATTTTCGTGAGAAAAACCAAACGCACGAATTAAAATTCATTAAACACTATTTATTTTCATTTACATTTCTAGTTAGGCAACATATTCAACAGAATCAATTAAAATTAACGGAGGATCCTGACCAAGCGATGGGCTCCCAATGTGTCTTTGTATTTGTACCTATCTGAAAATTTGATAAAGAAAGATCAATTAATTGTTTTCCAAAGAAACCATGTTGATGCAAATTTACCTATTGGTGGAAAATATTCAGGACGAGACTGAATATAATGCATCAGTCTAGATTGTTCAAGCGTAGCTCTTTTGATAGAATACTTAACAACAAAGTATCCACCAATGAAACCAATCAAAATACCAGCTGCATGTCGATAAATCTGAGAAAACACGGGTTTACCAGAAGCATATTGACCTATTGCCATAGCGGAAAAACCACAAGCAGCACCTACTCCAGTACCATAAATATATTTATCAATTGGTTTGCGGTGATCATCAAACTTTGTAAAAACGTCCAATGGATGATATCGGGGTCCTAATCGGGCCATGTTATAATGTGCTTCTCGCCAGTTTGGGCAATAAGCATAATCATCATCTAACATTAAGTGAAATAAAAAAACAAATATTAAATATAGAAAATGATTTATAAATTATTGAATCATAACTATGGTATAACAGGATAGTTAAGGATAGTTAAAGAATTAAATACTCACCAATTGTTTCAGCCATTAGTCTGAATTAAATTAATTCATCAATTTTAATCAGTTTTATTGAAACTGTCCTTCAGTGGGACTATAAAATGCATCGGTACTACAGCTCCATCTATTTGGTATAAATTGAGTACACAACATATGGTCTCCTGCGAGAGGATACAGCAATGAATAGTATTTTCAATTTATAATTTTGTCAAAAGTTTTTCTTTTCAAATATTGATTTTTTTAATAGATTTTTTTTATAAGTTTTTTTAAATTTGACAATGAATGCATCAAATTACTTAAAATTAATTGAATTTAGTTATATACTGGAAGGATTCCAAATTCTTTATGAATTTGAATCAGATAAAAGTGCCAATGGTGAAATGTTTCTTACTGCCTCCGCCATCATTGATGAGATATTTAAATATTCTTGGTTCGATAAAACGATTTCAAGCCACACCAAATCTATTTTGAGCCAACAATGGCGCAAAATAATTTGTGGTAAGCAGAGTTTGGACTATAATTTGTTTAAAAATGTTCTTTCGGACATTCACAATGTTTGTGAAGATTATTTGTTGAAAAAATATTCAAGTGAAAAATATGCAAGTGGAAAATTTGCAAGTGAAAAATATTCAATTGAATATTCAAAAATTGACGATTTTAAGAAATCCAGTTTAACGATCGATTCTGGTGTTCAGACACTTGTCGAACAGCCACAGATGCAATCTGGTGGGTCAAAACAATCGCTTGATTTTGAAAAAACCCAGAAAAAAGAGAAAAAGTCAAGTCTTGACAAATTCGCTAACATTCCGAAAGAACTTTTGGAAAAAAATGGCAAACTGCAAACAAACGTGCTCGAAAAACACATCAATAAAACATTTTCGTTTTATCAACGCTCTGGAATTGACTCTAATAGTTCATCAGCTCAATCCACAGGACCTCTTAAACATCTCAATCCTTCACCAACTGAAGATGATCCAATTTTACCCATTTTACAATACAAATTGAAAAAAATATCTTTAAATTCAAGAGAAAATTAATTTTTTCTCATTTTCAATGTAGCTTGAATAAGATGCAGTAATTAAAAGATTTTTTAAATTGTTAATTTGTTTAAATCATGATTTATAATTTATTTAATCACCATACGAATAATTCGTCAATATATTACAGAGTATAGCCTAATTAACGGAGAATCCTGACCAAGCGATGGGCTCCTAATGTGTCTTTGTATTTGTACCTATCTGAAGATTTGATAAAGAAAGATCAATTAATTGTTTTCCAAAGAAACCATGTTGATGAAAATTTACCTATTGGTGGAAAATATTCAGGACGAGACTGAATATAATGCATCAATCTAGATTGTTCAAGCGTAGCTCTTTTGATAGAATACTTAACAACAAAGTATCCACCAATGAAACCAATCAATATACCAGCTGCATGTCGATAAATCTGAGAAAACACGGGTTTACCAGAAGCATATTGACCTATGGCCATAGCGGAAAACCCACAAGCAGCACCTACTCCAGTACCATAAATATATTTATCAATTGGTTTACGGTGATCATCAAACTTTGTAAAAACGTCCAATGGATGATAACGAGGTCCTAATCGGGCCATGTTATAATGTGCTTCTCGCCAGTTTGGGCAATAAGCATAATCATCATCTAACAATAAGTGAAATAAAAAAACAAATATTAAATATAGAAAATGATTTGTATATTATGGCATCATAACTATGGTATAATAGGATAGTTAAAGAATTAAATACTCACCGATTGTTTCAGCCATTGGTCTGAATTAAAACAGGCCAACAATTTTGATTTTTAATCCGTTTTATTGGAACTGTCCTTCAATTGAACTCTCAAGTTGAATTAAAATGAAAGCCAGAAATGGGATCGGATCTCGGATTCAGTTACAATACCAAATGTTTTGATCGAAGTTATCCTATTCATCGCTAGATGACGCTTAAAACGTTCGATATTTTGGCTTTTATAACTGTGAAGATTGGATTTGATGGTTACTGGTTACTAGCTATTCTATAAGCTAACCATCTCAGCTTGAAAGGTTCATGCCGAGATTTATTACCCAGTTCACTCTCAGATGACGCTGGCATTCAAAAGCCCTTTGATTTGTCCAACCAAAGAGCCAGTTAAAAATACTTATTAAACATTGGATTGTTTGATTGTATTTAGTTTAATATTTTTGATTTCATTTTTTTAGCACAAATTTCACTAAAAGCGCCTTCTGATTGTGAACCGGAGAAATAAATCTCAAACTGAAGCTGAGATCATCTCGTGACGTCTCTTATTACATTACTCTTTGAATTTCACCAAATTTTTTTATTTCTTTAATCAACAATTGACTTAGTTAAGTTTTTTCATAAAATATTGATTTCTAACTCACAAAATCATCTTTAAACTACATTTACGGTTAAATAGGAAACAAAAATCCAAATAATGGAATTAAGAGTAGGAAATAAATATAGGCTTGGTCGTAAAATTGGATCAGGCTCTTTTGGTGATATTTATCTCGGTAAGTACCTATTCTTTACTTCCATCTTTCCCTTTATTCACTCATTTACTCATTCATTAATTCAATCTTTCTTTCTTTCCTTCTTCGTCCCTTTCTTTCTTCGTTTCCTACTTCCAATTGTGTTAACGGTTACGTCAATGGTCACCTGTAGGTACCAATATAGCAACTGGAGAAGAAGTTGCAATCAAATTAGAATGCCTTAAGACAAAGCATCCTCAACTGCACATAGAAAGTAAAATATACCGGATGATGTATGGAGGAGGTAAGTAATTACAATCCATTCTTCATTTTATTTTCATTTAGAGGCCATTGCCCAATATAAATGTTTCCCTCACCTTACCAGTTCCTTCTGTCAAGGCGAAACACCTTTCTTGCCTTTCTTTTTTCAACATCTTTTTTTTCTTTATTTCTCTTTCTCTGTCTCTTTCTCTTTCTTCTAACAGTCGGAATACCTTCTATCAAATGGTGCGGCTCAGAAGGGGATTATAATGTGATGGTTATGGAATTGTTAGGTCCAAGTTTAGAAGATTTGTTCAACTTTTGTAATCGAAAATTTAGTTTAAAGACTGTACTCCTACTCGCGGATCAATTGGTGTGTTTTGTTTACGTTTTTTCATATTCACCTCCTTCTTCTTTTTTATTGTATTGCTAATTAACGGTTTACTTTTTTTTCTTTTCATGTTTTTATTTTTTAAAATAGATTCATAGAATAGAATTTATCCATGCTAAAAGTTTTATACACAGAGATATAAAGCCAGATAATTTCCTCATGGGCCTCGGGAAGAAAGGAAATCTTGTATATATTATTGACTTTGGCCTTGCCAAGAAATATCGCGACAATAGATCCCATCAACATATACCTTATCGTGAAAATAAAAATTTAACTGGAACTGCCCGTTATGCTAGTATCAATACACATTTAGGAATTGGTAAGAAACAGCAAAGTTGTTCAATTAAGGAGCAATGGCTAATGATAATAATTTTTTTTCCATCAGAACAAAGTCGACGGGATGATCTTGAATCTCTTGGTTATGTTCTCATGTATTTTAACAGAGGTAGCCTTCCTTGGCAAGGCTTGAGAGCAGCAACCAAACGCCAAAAGTATGAGCGAATAAGTGAGAAAAAATTAACTACACCAGTTGATGACCTTTGTCGGGGATTTCCTTCAGAGTTCGCCACATACCTGAACTACTGCCGGAAACTCAAATTCGAGGATAAACCAGATTATTCTTATCTAAGGCAACTGTTAAGAAATTTATTTCATAGGCAAGGATTTACATATGATTATATATTTGACTGGAATCTTCTTAAATTCGTAAGTTGAATTTATTCATTTTCTTTACTATTTGTTTCTCATTTTTTACTGATTCACTTTGTTAATTTTTTTCGTTCTTTAGGGTAGAAATCGTCCTCAAAATGGTAAAGAAGAACAAGGTGAATCTGGCAATGTCAGTGGAGGTGAAGTAGGAGGAGGCGTCGGAACAGCTGGAAGTCACGTTGGAGTCGGAGCTGGTGTTGGCGTCGGAGTTAGTGTCGGTGTTAGTAGCACTGGAGATGGTGTTATTGGATCTAGCAACCCTGAAGGCGATCGTCATCTTGATCGTTCACTCTTACAACAGCATGTTCTACACGATCCTGAAAATAGAAATATACCACTTGACCTTCGACCCATCCCAATGGTTTACAATCATCGTCCATCCTTATTTAGTACCGGTCCGATCCCAATACCAAGTAGTAGCACAACAGTATCAGGATTCATTCCTCCAAACGGTGCTGGGATGATGGGAGCAACGGCAGGAGAATTGATACCTGCACCCCTCACCAAAAGGAATTTGCGTTCAAGTACAATTTTTGATTAAATTTTCATTATTTTATATCAGACTATCAATACAAGCAAAACAAAACTTCATTAATAAGGCCACTTGAAATTATTATTCACATTTCTTAATAACCATTCCTTCAGATTTAAATTGTACCTATCGATTGATTCTCATAATTTCTTTGTTTTGTTCTCAATTTCACCATTTGCCAGCTTAATTGCCCTTTATAGCTCTTTCACTTACTTTTATTTATTTCTTTCTCTCTCCTATTTCATCTTCTTCTTTCTTTCTTTCAAACCTTCTCTCATCCAACTAGGACAGAAGGAGGAGGTGTGAGAACAGGTGTGGTACCGATGCCGATAACTATACCGGTGCCTAATAATTTCACAGTTAGAGCGTTTCCTCGAAGAAAAGTTAACGAAGAAAATGCAAACCAAAACAAATAATCAAAACAAATTAAAAACTGATAAGTGTAAATAAGGACAAAGAAAGAAAAGCTGATTGAGAAATAAAAAAGAGCAAATTTGACCACAAATGACGCAGGGAAATGTCCATAAAGTGATCAGTGACCTTTCCAGTCCAAGGTGAAAATCTATAGTTTACACAAAGCATTCAAAACCATTTTTCTTAGTCTTTCCAAAATCATACCTTTTCTCCTCTCATTATTACTAACATTTTCTTCTGTATACTACACACAACAAATAAAACAAGTTTAACGAAGGTCAGAGTAAAGGATTTTTTAAATTTAAATAGTTTGATTCAATTTAATAGTTATGAGTTTTTCATTCAGCCAAACAAGGTGAAAGAAAACAAGATTTACTAAGGACAGTCAAACTGTTGAATTGACCTTCGTTTGAATCTTGTTTCAATTAGAAATATTTACAAAAATAGTTCTATAATTAGTATAAATTGCATAAAAAATACAGAATTAGACAATAACAATTTAACATTGTTCTTTCGTTGAGAATTATTATTCATTATTCTTTTTTTTATTTTTTTACAGAGTAATTTAATCCAAATCAATTGAGGAAAAACAAAGTAAAATAAATGAAATGAAGAAATCAAGTAAATTGTAAATGATGGTGACTATACTGATAACAATACAAAAATATAAAGACTAAGGTGAATCAAGTTGAATCGTGGCGTATCTGTTGATCCATTTTGACTCATCCATATTCACCCTGAAACCAGAATACAGTTAACATTTAAACCTTGGAATTTTGCCAACAATTAAGTTTGTAAACATCATCCATTGGGATGCCTTTCATCATTATCATCATGTTTTTTACATCTTCATCAACATCATCAGTTCCAATTATTACAGTTACTCTCTTTATCACCATTTTTGCATCATCGTATCCTACTTTGTCCCTTATTT